GGAGAAAACCTAGCCCAGCGCCACTTTGTCCACCACAAATCCCACTTGACCATACCCGGGCTCGAACCCGGGCCGCCGCAGTAGGAAGCCAGCGGCTAACCGCTTGAGCTATGGCGCGGCCTAGCGTAGGGTCTAAGTACAAATACTGAATTCTGTAGCCATGGCGACCGAGAATGATTTGTGGAATAAGTAGCGGCACTGAAACTTGGCGAATAACACGTTCTTCATTTTTCTGTTATTATTTCTGATTATCTTCTGTTTTAGATTGTTCCTATTCCTGTACTCGAGAAGAGGAGGAAGGGTGAAACTCAAATTTGGTGAGTAAATCAATAAACGGGTTGTTTTATTAAATGCTATGGGGTTTGTGTGTATATTGCCACGTTCTTCTGCCTTTAGACGACTGAATAAATTGAGTTCTTCACATCTTCGAAACGACTGACCACGTTGCAATCAGATTTAGTACAGGCGGGTACAGATGCCGTGAAGAGAATCCAATTCTGATTCATGTCGGTCCATACTGACTGGCATTTTATTCAAAGTCCAAAACTGACTTAACTTTTCTGACCTGTTCATCGTGTGTAAAAATAGAACATGACATGCTACAAAAAATCCATGGCTTTAGTCCGCAAGCGAACTATACCGACCGAGCGACCGCCGCTTGTCGGCGAAGGTAGTGCCAACTCTGTGGTCTAGTGGTCAGAGTTTCCTGGCTACAGATCCAGAGGTCCCGGGTTCATTTCCCGGCGCTACCAGATTTTCTGGTGGTCCACTCAGCCTCGTTAGGATAATTGAGGAGCTATTTCAAGAAAATAGCGGCTCCGGTCTAGAATATCGGAATTACCGGCAGTGGGTATTCGTTGGGCTGACCACGCGACACCCACTATCCGCTAAATTTGGCATGACATGCTACATAGGTGTCATTAAAATATACCTACTACACTATTTTGAAACATTTTTCGATATGCTGCATATTAATGGAGAGTTTTTAATTCTCATTTCTGTCAAAAGAGCTCAGCAAAAGATATGCAAGACGAAGTGAAGGAATTAAGGCATTTGTATCTACAATAGAAGAACACAAATGTTTGCCTAGTGCAAAGCAAATTCGCAAGGAGCGCATTTGGAACATGTGTGTGTGTGTGTATTCTAAGTGCAGTTCATTGACATACGCATTCACGTTTTGTATACGGTGCAACCGGTTATCGGATGTCTGGGAGACCGTGTGTGTGTCACCTCTCCTCGTTGGGTTAGATCTTTAGGCTGCTGTCTGTTGGTGTGACGTCGGTGACAATGGAACGTGAAAGGTGACGACGCGTTGTCGCATGAGATAGCTTTATGTTTTGTTTCCTTATGGAAATGGGAAATTCGATGAGGCGAGAAAAGGAGCTTTGGTGAAAGGGAGGCTGGTCTGTTAACGCTCCGCTTTGTAACTCCAGATCTCTCCAGAGAACATCCATCGTGCTCGTCAGTGTTTACACGGGTGGCATGGCCCCGATTTCTGTGAGCTGCAGCACTAAGTGTGCCAAAAATTTGAGGCCTAGGAGTGGTCCGGTTGGCTGGTGACGAGGTTATTTTACGTATGCCCTGTTTTTCTTATGTCTTTCTCTTTTCGTGAGTGTATAATAATACTGTACATGTAAAGGTAATTAAAGTGAAGTCAACAGTAAGGATCGACTCTGTTGCACACAACTGTGATTTGTCAGTAGCGTCAAAGCAGAATAATTTTTACGCCGCTTTATAAGCGAGCGACCGTCTCAGGAAGTTGGCTTCGGGCAGTAATTCGTAACGATAAACGAATACTACGTAAATCCACCCTATGTCAAATGCGCAGGTGAAGGGGGCGGCAAGGTAGACCGAGCAATAGAATTATTATTGGGGAACTCCTGGTAATCAGACACTTATTTGGAAGTCCATGGAAATGCATAGAATTGGCTCAAGATTCGGCGCAGATTTTGTGTCCTCTGTGCTGGGTCGCTAATGTGTTACTTGTTATGTAGAGCAGTGGTTCTCATAAACCGCCGGTATTTGATTATCTCGACTCGGCATCGTGTTTCACATTTTACGGTGCAAATAATACTCTACCAATCTATTTTTACGGCATTTAGCGTGTCTAAATATGTTTGCTTGTATTTACCTAATTTTTCTAGTTCGGAGCAAATATATATGCCTAGGCACTCGCGTAATATACATGCGTTATGTGTCTGTGTGGACCAGAAGAGGGCAGTATTTAACGTCAATGAGGGCACGATGTATAGTCGATATTGCAGTCTCGAAAATTGACTTACAGTATATATATATATATATATATATATCCNGAAGTTGCGATTTCAAAGTGTCCCCGAAGTTGTATAACAGTGGACTAATGTGGGAGTCATTTGTGAAAGCCGCAGCTAGAGATGGGAAATGTCAAGTTTTCACTTTGAATTTTCAAGGGACGTTTCAATAGTATATCTATTAACATAATATATTATAATATTGTCACGTATGAGGGGTTTGCGTGAAGAATGTAACGGATTCTGGATTGGATGATTGGGTTTATTGGCAATTCTATTACAATTATAATCAGTTATAACAGCTCACGCCGGTCACGGTAGCCTATCGGTCTAAGGCACTGTCTTCGCTCGCTCGGAAGCCAGGATCGTGGGCTCGAATCCCATTCAGGGCATGGATGTTCAGTGTTTGTGTGTGCGTTTTTCTGTGTTTGTGTACAGATAGAGGCCTTGCGAAGAGCTGATCACCCGCCCAAGGAGTCCTACCGAATGTGTAAGATCTAGAAAAACCGAAGTGAANGGTGAGGAGCCGGGCTCGAATTAATTTCACCACACACGTATGAGCGTAGCGATCCACACGCGGACGAGTTTGGCTCATTGGAACCCGAGCCGAGTCTGGCTCGCGATCCGGGCTCGGATTAATTTCACCACAAACGCATGAGCTGACGCCCAACTTTGCGACCCACACACGGCCGAGTTAGGCTCATTGGAACCCGAGCCGAGTCGGACACGCGAGCCAGACTCGTATGTGTATGAGCCCCTTAAGATCTAGTAAACCGAAGTGAAATGGAGAGTTCCATGGAGGTAGGCCAAGGCCCAAATTTGGGCTGTAGCGCCAAAGAAAAAATAACAGCTTGCAATCAATGGACTCGCTCCATTCCTTACTGGACTGCAAGCGTCTTCTACTGTGACTGACGTCGTTCTGATTTACGAATCGCTGTCTGTCAATGGACTGTTCCGGCTTTCAAGCGTCATGTCACAGTATGTTTTAGTTTAATATATAATACAACACAGTGTAATATTCCAAACGATGAATTTGCTGCCCGGTATTAATATATCAATAGACAGACGGCGGACGGGTTAATGACGCCGGAAAAACAGGTACAGGGGCTGAAATGAAGCGACGCGACCACCCACGGCTAGAAGTTTTACTGCTGTCTGATGACTAATTCGAGTCTCGCACTGTTCGAGTTGTATAGTTACGTGTATATAGCGTTGAATGAGATGGTAGAATAATCAGAATGGTGTGTGGGCAGGACTGGAAGGAGGCGGCAGTGTTCTGTTTCAAGGCAAGCCACTATCCCGGTATTCTTTTCCCTACAGGCACATAAACATAAGTTACAAACTCGGACACTATATCATAAACTTTGGTCTGTGTTCTCTAATTTTTGGACACGCATTAATTCGGATATGGAGTGGGCCCCATTTAGCTTTCAGATGAGCACTTAAGAAAAGTCGAGTGTGAATATCGAAGCCATGCAGTCTCGATATTGTCAGCGCCATTAAATAAGAGCCGTAAAAAGAAACTTCATCGGGAATAATAGGAAATTCATGGTCTAAGTCCCCAGAATTTAACATTTCATCGAAACTGAGCGATTACTGTCATCATCATCATCAGCCGCGAGCAGTATTCTGCTATAACTTTCGTAAATAGACCTGTACTGCGACAGACCCGATGAGGTGGATTTTTTTCATTTGACCTAATCCTTCCAGCCGCACTATGGCCCTAGAATCGACTTAACCTCCAACGTAAATGAGTAGCAGGAATATTTCTAGGGTAAAGGGCGGCCGGCGCGTAGGGCTGACAACCTCACCTCCATCTGTGAGTCTATTGTCTAGAGAAAATGTGGAAGCCTCAACTTCTTACAACCCTATGGGCCTCCACGGCCTATTACAGGGATACCTTTACTTTTACTTTACTGCCACAGACATGTCGAATAATTTGAAATAAAAATAAAAATAGGCCTGTATATGCTCATTACATACAGTTTTTGTTTCGGGCTGTACTAACAAAACGATCCTCAGGCGGATGTTGTAACTTTGTGATCGAAGGCTTGCAGTTATAAAATATACAGCGTGTATCTGAAAGTTGCGGACATACGTTGGGCACGAGTTCCACATACCAAAAGAAAGGAAAATGTCCATACCGAAATGTGTCCGAAACACTTAATTTGTGAGTTATAGCTGAAAGAGTACATTTATAATAAGTGCTCAAAATGTCCTCAGTGAGTTTTAATTCAAGCCTCGACACGTCTCATCATGGACCACCGCATGGGATCAAAGATGCCGGAGTAGTTGCGTATAATCTGACAGGCATACCCAATGCGATGGTTATCAACAGGAGCTGCATACACAAGGGTTCTTAGGTGTCCCCACAGGTAAAAATCCAGAGGATTCAAACCTGACGAACATGAAGACCATGCAGTGGGTCCTCCTTTACCTATGATAGGTGTTAACATCTCGCAGAGCACGGCTAAAATGTGCCGGAGCACCATCATGCAGGTACCACATTCGTGCTCTGTCTGTGACTCATCTTCTAGCAGCTTTGGCAGATCATGTAAGAGGAAACTGGTAGTGGTTGCCTGTAAGCCAATGTGGCAAAACATGCGGGCCTGTCAATTACCAGCAATCCCTGCCCACACATTGATGCTGAACTGCTGCTGGTGTCTACACAGTATTCTTTCAGCTATAACTCAGCAAGTTATATATTTCCTGACATGTTGCTATGGACATTTTCCTTGTTTTGGTGTGTAGAACTCCTGCCCTAATTTCGTCTGCGGCTTTTAGTTACTTTCTGTATTTGAATGGAAGGTCTGTCTGCAGCTGTGTCAGCCCCCAAAACTCATCTAGACCTACTCCCCTCGACTTCCTGCTTCAGGTTATTCTTGGAAAGCTCGGCATGTGACTTGGCGAAGAGGGATGACGGATGGGCAAGGACCCTTTCTTATGTACTTACAGAGCATCCCAGCAGTTCTTTAACTCTGTTTTTCTTTTACGAAATGTGCGAGATGGGGGAGTGCCGGGTTGCCTTGCCCCTTTGTGCAGGTTTT